CCTTCAGTCGGGAGCTGAGGCGTAGGAAATGGTTAATCTCTCCAGCTATGGTTCAGTCTGCTCCAGGGAGCAGCTGGGGCTTGTCATCCCCCCTCTTTGCATGTTAATATAGTCTTAAGACCTTTCAATCTTAAGGCTCACTGTATTCACAGTACATTCACACCAGCACTCAGCACATTAGAGACCATCAAAGATGTGTGACAGGGCAAGGAAAATTGCTGCTGAATGAAGGTAAAGCATAAGTAGAGAAAGCATTGTAACCCTGCATTTAAAAGTTGTTAGGCTTCCCATTTGTTTCAGTCTTGTTGATTAAGGCTGAAAAATAAGGGTCTGACTGTCACGATGACCTCCGTAATTGCTTATGTGTGCATGGCTTTCTAGTTTTACCCTTCAGGAAAAATCTGTACGTGGAAGGAAAGCCATGCTAGTCTTGAGTTAAAGAGAGCAAAGATGGGTTTTCAGTTTTAAAAATTTTATTATGATACAGCAGAAAGATAACGATCTCACAATTGTCATGCTTCATTTCTACATTTTACTGTTACACCGAAACTCTAGGAATGTGCACAGTGGGGAACTTTGCCTCAGCAGGAGCAAAATTAGTGGTACAATACAAAATGACCATTTCATTCTCGTTTTGATTTTGCAAAAATAATTTGGTATTTTACATTTTCTGGGACATAAATTCAGAAATTGAAATTTTGAGCTGCAAAATGCTGTTTTGGGCAGGAGATCAGTCTTCTTATCTGAGTACCTGATCAGTGTTGTGCCATTTGCAAAAATATAACTCTCCTGCAAAAGGTGTACTTGCATAGAATTACTAATTATCCCTTTGCCTCCCTGATTTCACACACTTTTACTGAACCGTCACAAATATGTTCTACTCGGGAAGTTAATCATCAGAATAAGCATATATGGTAAAACAGTCTGAAGAGATTCTTCCCGTTGGGGGATCCCAGAACATTTTGTTTTCTTCTACTCAGGCAGAGAATTAGTTTGTACGTCTTCCTTGTGGCGTGTTAACCACCTACTTAGCTAGTAGTCATTGCCAATGATGTGAATGAACCTCTGAAGGGGATTTTTTTTTTTCCAACGCTAAGAAATCAAAAACAATAGCCTAACAGTCATATTGGAGAACGAGAGGAAGGAAATTGCCAGACTGTAATAAAACTCAAGGGAACAAGAAATATAGAGAATAGATAAAAATACAAGTAAAGAATATTTCGGTGTATGATGATTGTGTGTCTTTCCCACTGGGAGAGGTGAGGAAGTTGAGTTTTACCCTGAAGAATCTGGGATGTGCACATGGTGGTGAAAGGCGTGAGATTAAAAGCCGTCTTTGGGAGTGTCAGTGAACCTGAACAATTGAAGGAACATACCGGGAGGAGGAGATAGATGGACTCGTAATTCAGCCGATCTTCTCCAGTTCACGGATGTTTGAAGCAGAAACGTTTAATCTCCTGAGATTGCAACTCATCTGTCTAAATAGCAAGACACCTTCGATTCTTATATGTAAGACGACAGATATTGTTATTTTTCAATAAATAAAAAACTACCTGAAAAATAATGTTGCTTTATGCAGGCAGAGTGATCCAATCCAGACAAAAGGGAAGCAAATTTTCCCTCCCCACAGACAATAGGCATCCTGCTTGGCCACATCCTTTAATCCCAGCCCTGAAATTACTCACTTGTGAAAGCTTCTTAATTGTGTTTAACTACATGGGCTTTACCGTGTGGAGACATGGGTTGTAACACCAGTAAGCAGTTAGGATCATGACACTCGTTTCCATTGTTCTCCAGATATTTGGGAAAATAAACTTGACAGCGAAAATAGCCCCTGGAATAATTGCAGCTATTAGAGCCATTACCTATCCAAATTCAGGTATTTTTGGAGTGAGGAAAGTCTTGTTTCACAGATCAGTTGAGCCAAGCAATTAAATTGGAATAGCAGCTTTGGTTCCTATTGACTACCTCTGTCTGCCTTACCGCTCGATGCGTGTCTGTTGGCTGATGTACAATAAGTAAGATAATTTGTGTGCAAAAGAAAAAAGAATTCTTAGGCTACTAATTTTATTCCCATGTTGAGTGCCCACTTCGGCGTTATTTTGATTGCAGCAATGCTGAACAGCTAGAATAGGTGGTAGAATAAGTTACCTTCTAAAAAAATGAGATTAGGATTTAAATCATTACAGATCCATGAGAACTGTCATAGCACAGATTTCAGTTATGCTTTTTATTCTAGTCTTCCATTAAGTTTTTTCCAGCCACCTGCACTTGAGGAGTATCGGCTAATCTTTTACATGATCTTTAACTATAAACTGAGCTGATAAAGAAAAATCACTTGATTTGCTATTACATCTCTGGGAAAAAAAAGAAAAAGAAAACAAATCATGAAGGAAAAAATAAGACAAAAAGAATCTCTTAATAAAGAGGGATTCATGCTTCAGTTCTTTCCTACTTGCTTCTCCTCAGTTGCTCAGGAGAACTTTTGATCTCCAGCTTTTCGATTTGGGTTCCTGGCAGGGAATCTCAGAAGATTCCCACACTAGTGGAAATAATATTTTGTGTACTAAAGTTGAAAAAGGATAACATGTTCTGCCAAATAACTAGTACAAACTTCTGACCTTTGGAACAATAATAGACATGATATTCGGAAATGTTAATTTTACCACGGAAGTTCAAAATAAAGAAAAAAAAAGTTGTCTTGATAGACTTTATGGGATTGAAACGGTGTCCGTAGCTGATTGTCATTTTTGAGAGCATCTTATATTGTCTCTCTAGTGGCGGCAGCGTAATGACTTTGTGATATTACGAGTAGTTGCTTTTAAGATCCAGGCTGTCCATTCCACTGTTGTTGTGCCTGCAATGATACTAGGCGCAGCACCAAAAAAAGTCTACAGTTGAGGAAATGTCAAATTTCCTCAGATTTTTCTTTGAAGGAAACACTAGAAATATTATAAAGCAACTTGGAATGGCCAGTAAAGTCCTTCAGTACAAGAAAGACAATTGTGCCGTAAAGGGCAAGTGGTAAAGAGAACGGGAAGGAATAGCTGGAGAAAGGGAAGAAACAAAAACACTCTTGTTTGTTAGGAAGGAAAGGACAAACACAAGTTGTGTGCCTGCACAGCTTTGATCTCATAAATTTACAAAATTGGACTCGGTGTAAGGAAGGAAATCCTCCGAGGCATGTTCCCTGGCGTCCCCGAGGGGCTGTCCTCGCTGGGAACGCAGGTCTGGGGAGGATGCGGGAACCAGCCCAGGTCCACTTTGTAACAACCCCACGATGCTTCTGAGCCGTGCAACTGCTTTTTATTTAAGGCCGAGATCCCAATTCGGTGCTCGGTCTCTTCGCCCTCGCGCCGGCAAACCCGCGCCCGCGGGGCCTCGGTGGGCAAAGCAGGGACGGGGTCACGCCTCCGGGACCCTGAGCCCCACAGCTGCGGGCCCGGACCTTCAGAAGCTCAGGAATCAATAAGGTAAATATTCTATGAACTGTAATTGTGAGGAGAAGGTGGGAACGCACGCAGTGCAGGGCTAGCGGTGAAGAAACGACATCCCAGCCTTTGGCGTCATGGCAAGAAAGCGATCCCTGCCCATGGAAACTCTAGCTGGAGGAGTACGTCCGATTGGATGTCGAAATGCAGGCAATGCAGAAAATGAGCTATTTCGGGTGCAAAGGCGCAACAAAAGGTGTTTTTAGGGGAAACTCGGTGGCTGCCCGGGGGCGGCAGCGTGTGAGGGGAAGGAGGGCGCGGCGACACCCGGCGCCGGCCGGGCCGCGCTGGAACG